CACAGGAATTTCCCATGATTCAGATTGCTTTTGCCCAACCTGGGTATTGGGACACTAGTGCGTAGAATACATAGCTGTGTTATGTTGTAATATCCTGACTTTCCTTCTTCAATCTCCTTTGTCAGTGTTTTGAACTAGAGAATAGGGAAAAATGGTGACAGTATAATGGTGAAAAGCAGGGTAATGGTATGGGTATGGATATGCCTTCCACAAACCCTACACAACCTGTCTTGTCTTTCTAAAAGCCACACCTTATATATTTGGTTGTATACATGTTCATATATGCTTGGACTGGTAGGTGAGGACATAAGTAGAATTAGTCAATCTTCCTGTACCCAAACAGTTGTGAGATGTGTCTGTATTGAAACAGAGTGAGAAAAAGAAGTCAAGGTCGACAAAATGTGGCAGGCCAATAAAAAAACAAAATTAAACTAAAACATGAGCCCTGCTACAACTGCAAAAGTTGTATGTACATTTGGACTAGAATTGGAATAAACCACACACACACACAAATGTAAATTTGAGAGTGAGAAGGTTGAAGAGTGGATTTTTAAAGGTAAGACATTTTAAAGTTTTTGTGCAAGATAGAATAAGCTAACCTGTATCTGACACACAGTGTTCAGTCCAGCATTCATCGTGTAATCCTGGTATACTGTTGTCCCTGTTTTACAGATGAGGGAATTAAGACTCGAGATTAAGTAATTTGTCCAAGGACCCGGGGGTAATTGATTCGACCAGGATTTAAACTCGTGTGTTCTAATTCCAAGTGTTCTTTTTCCGATTTCTACGCTGGACTAGGGTGCCTGATGCTGACACTGCCATGTTTACTAACTCTTCTTTTGGGTGTACCTGCTGCTGTCCTGGCCTGGAATTTCTTTCCTAGGAACACCGCTTCAGGGTACTTGGAAGAGCCAGTCAGGGGAACTTTAGGCACCAGCTATTCATCTCCTCCTTGAAAATAGGAAGAAAACCCAATTTTTGTTATAATGGCTCCTGCTTTCTGGTTTAGATGAAGTTTCATTTTCATGTTCTTAGATGGAGCATTGCATTAAGAAAAAAAAAATTTTTTTTTTTTTTTGAAGAGTAAAAATGTGTGCGCGTGTGGGCAAAACCTGGAAGGCAATAAACAAAAATGTTAGTTATGTTGGAGGCTTGTTTGTTTTTACTTATTTCATGTGCTTTTTGTATTTGGAGACACTTGTGAATCTCCAGATTCAGGACAACACAATAGCATAAAAACTATGAAGTGGAAGCCACAAAATCATGTTGAGACACAGAAGCAGGGTAATGACCAGCAGCAAGGCCTACTTAGTGGTTCTTTCTCAGAGCTGTCTGCTGTCTCCAGGATCAACTCCTGTTGTCCTGTAACCATGAGGAATCAACCCCAAATTGAGGGACATTCTATAAAATAGCTGTCTTGTACTCTTTAAAAATGTCAGCTATGAAAGATAAAGTCTGAGAAACCTTTCTATGTGAAAAGAGAAGAAAAAGACATGATAACTAAGTGCACTGGGATCCTGAATTGGGTCTTGGATTAGGAAAGTAAATGTGATGAAGGGCATTATTGGGATAACTGGCCAAATCTGAGTAAGGGCGATCAATACATTAAGTACTATATCGATGTTAAATTTCCTGAAGTTGATAAATGTACTATGTTTATGTGAAAGGGTGTTCTGAGGAGATGCAGAATCAAGTACTTTGGAGGAAAGGATCATACTGTCTGCAGCTTACTCTCACGGGTTCTGTAGAAACTGTGTGTGTATGTACACACTACCCAAGTCTAATTCCTTACAGCCAGGCAGGAAGAAATACATGTGTGGTAGAGATGGTTTACTAGGCATGTATGTACAGAGAACTGTAGAGCCTGAAAAGAGACACCTGGTCAGTTTTGTAGGGGTAGCCTAAAAAATGTCTTCATAGTCACTTAGACTAATCCTAGTGAGTGGGGGTGAGGTTTTCTAGTGAGGAGCGCATTTAGAAGAAAGATTGCTCGTGCATGTGAGAGCTCATTGTGTTATGGCTGAAAGGGCTAAGACATGGTCATGTTCTGATGGCCTTGTACATCTTACAGAGGAGTTTGAGTTACGTCCATAGACATGATGGAGATAATCAAGATGCCTTCAGCTGCGAGGTAATATTAAATTCCAGCTAGAACGACTTAAATGATAGGAAATGTATTTTCTCACGTAACAAGAAATGTGGCTTTTTCCTGACCTGGTAGGGTAGAAGGCTCCATCATGGGAGTCAACATCTACTACAACAGAGATCGAAAGGTTCAGTGCGAGGGACCCAAGAGCCAAGACATCTACCTAAGGCTGTTGGTCAAGCTATACAGGTTTCTGGCCAACTTCAAACCAACTCCACCTTCAAGTGGTGCTGAAGAGGTTGTTCATGAGTTGTACCAACCGGACTCCTCTGTCTCTTTCCCAGATGGTCCGGAATTTGAAGCTTCCTGGCCAGGAGGGCAAAACCACAGTGGATATAGGGACTAAAACCTATGACGTGTGTGTTCAGGAGGTGTCCAGACTGGAGGTGTATGCACTTCGAGTGAGCAGCTGCTCCTAGAGCCACTTCCTCAAGGCTGGGGGCAAGATCCTCACCTTTGACCAGCTGGCCCTGGACTCCTCCCAAGGGATGTGGTCTTGTCTTCCTTCTGGTTCTTGCATGGGCCTCAGAGTACACAGGCATTTTGGCAAGGCCCCAGGAATCCCTCACAGCCACACCAAACCCTACGTACAATGCAAGGGCCGGAAGTTTGAACACGCAAGAGGCTGACGGGCTAGCCATGGGCATAGAAAATGAACCCCAGATCCTACCTTGTTATTAAAAAGATTCTGGATGCTGGGGGAGGGAGGGCATGAAGATAGGAAAGTTCCAGGGTTAGATAATTCAGCTCAGAGATGGCTTTATGAACCCAGGTGTTTGCATTTTTTTTTTTTGCTGCATCCATCCTTAGTGTGTGAATGGTGTCTCTGCTCCTGGTTGAAGAGAGTTGCCACAGTTCCGTAATGAAATCTAGTGATAGGGGAATCTCTTTCTGAGCATTCCTTATTATTAGAAAGGAAAGCCTTTTCCAGAATTGTCTTGGCCAACTTGCCTTTAATTCCCTTAGCCAGGATTGTGTCACCTGCAAGGAGATGATTGTGGTGTTTGGCTTCTCCAGTGGCTCTCCCTCCTGTGGCTAAAAGGTGTTACCCTTCCTGAGAAGAACCTCTGAGGAGCTAGCCAAAAGAGGTTGTTGTGTAAGCAGCCTCCAGGGTCTGTCACCATTGAGAGAAAAAAATTTCTATAAGTGAATGGTGGGAAGAGGAGTGGCTGCTAAGTTAAAAAAAAAAAAAAAAGCCTCATGCACTCATCCCCTTGACCACTTTATCAGGACAACTCTTTATTTCTGGCATATTACTCTCCAGCCACTGCCCATATGCACATACTTTAGTTCTAATCTTATTCTAGGTGTCATTTTGCATACACTTTCCATTGGTATGTTTTTATACACCATATAAACATTTTTCTACATTTTTATAGTCTTCATAATTCTAATGTATAATGTTTTATCATATTTTATAGCAATTTATTAAACTTACTATTGGACAATAGTAATAATAAAGGCTAATACTTACTGAGCACTTTTACATTTATTCATTTAGTCCTCACAACATTTCTATTGGGGTATGATGGCCATTTGTTACCCCAGCTTCCAGGTAAGAAAACTGAGGCTCAGAAAGTCTAAGTAACTTACGTGAGGTCACACAGTTAATTAGCGGGGAGCTAGCAGCAGAGCTGGAGTTCAGATGCAGGCAGTCTGGGACTATAGCCATCAGCTTAAACTATCTCTGGATATTGTTACCCCTTTTTTTTTTTAATATATTTTATTGATTTTTTACAGAGAGGAAGAGAGAGAGAGAGAGAGTTAGAAACATCGATGAGAGAGGAACATCGATCAGCTGCCCCCTGCACATCTCCTACTGGGGATGTGCCCGCAACCCAGGTACATGCCCTTGACCGGAATCGAACCTGGGACCTTTCAGTCCGCAAGCCGACGCTCTATCCACTGAGCCAAACCGGTTTCGGCGTTACCCCTTTTTTGATGTTAATACTATGATGAACATATTTCTACATATCTTGTCCTTGCACATGCATGCATAGCCAGGTTGTGGGTTGAAGAATGCATGGTCAGTGAGGGACTAGAGATGACATATATAGACCACATGTTAGAGAAATGTTACTTTGAGAAAGGGCCAGAAAAAAAGGAGTTGCTTTCACTCCTTATGTTCAATTACCAGGAAGGATTATTTAATTTTTTTTACTGTTTAAATCTTTCTTTGTGATACCTGCTTTTGTCCTTTGTGCATTTTGGGGGTCAGGGTGCCTCTCATATTAATGTATGATTAACATTAAGCCCTTTCATATGATACAAATATTAAGCTCCTGTTTTATTTTCTTAAATTATTTTTGGTTTCTATATATGTATTTATTATTTTCTATAGCTTCAACATTTTAAGGAATCAAATATTCTGTTAAGGCTAGTTTTTTAAATATATAACTTACCTTTTAAATATGTAATTACTTTACATATTTAGGTTAGGTTTTACTTTAATTTTCCCAAATTGCTGTTTATCTAATCTAATGCCCAACTGCTTTTTACACAATACAGTCTTAAAAGCATTTTTACCTTATAATTCAGTTTTTTTTAACTCTCCATTGTTTTCCTCTAATTTGTTTATGTGTTTGTCCTCATAACACATGATTTAATTTTGTTTGAAAATATGATCAAATCTAATAGGGCTAACTCTATTCTCATCTCTGTTTAACATTATCTTTTTCAGAACTTGAAAAAATTTTTCCATGTTTTATTTTTCCAAATTAACTTTCAAATCATTTTGACATTACTCTTAAGACATGCTGGTGTTGTGTGTTACATATGCCTCTTTAGGTTAAGCTCATAGTAGCATATAACAGTTGGAGAGCTATTATGGTTACTTAATTTCTCACTTTCATTTCTGTTTAATTTCTAGATTTTGGACCATTGTTTGACTTGGAAAATGATCTTCCTGATGAGCTGATCCCCAATGGAGAATTAGGCCTTTTAAACAGTGGGAACCTTGTTCCAGATGCTGCTTCCAAACATAAACAACTGTCGGAGCTTCTGCGCGGAGGCAGCGGCTCTAGTATCAACCCAGGAATAGGAAATGTGAGCGCCAGCAGCCCTGTGCAGCAAGGCCTTGGTGGCCAGGCTCAAGGGCAGCCGAACAATGCGAACATGGCCAGTCTGGGTACTATGGGCAAGAGCCCTCTGAACCAGGGAGATTCTTCAGCCCCCAGCCTGCCCAAGCAGGCAGCCAGCACCTCTGGGCCCACTCCCCCTGCTTCCCAACCACTGAATCCGCAAGCACAAAAACAAGTGGGACTGGTAACCAGCAGCCCTGCCACGGCGCAAACAGGACCTGGGATCTGCATGAATGCTAACTTTAACCAGACCCACCCAGGCCTCCTCAATAGTAACTCTGGCCATAGTTTATTGAACCAGGCCCAGCAGGGGCAGGCGCAAGTCATGAATGGATCTCTGGGGACTGCTGGCAGAGGAAGGGGAGCTGGAATACCTTACCCTGCTCCAACCATGCAGGGGCCCACAAGCAGCGTTCTGGCTGAGACGTTAACACAGGTTTCGCCACAAATTCCCAGTCACGCGGGACTGAACACAGCACAGGCAGGAGGCATGACCAAGGTAAGTGAGCATCAGTGCTTTGAATGCTTCCTAGTAATTGGTGTTTGCTCCCTCCAAGTAACATGGTAAAATGTGGAAAGTCTCCTTCAGGCTTTCTTCTGGCCCCTCCTACTTGGAAGAAACAGATTTGGTATCTGGAGTCTTTCTAGGATAAAGATCTCTGCTCCATGTTGTTGTTTTTTTTTAAAAATATATTTTATTGATTTTTTACAGAGAGGAAGGGAGAGAGATAGTCAGAAACATCGATGAGAGAGAAACATCGACCAGCTGCCTCCTGCACATCTCCTACTGGGGATGTGCCCGCAACCCAGGTACATGCCCTTGACCGGAATCGAACCTGGGACCTTTCAGTCTATCCACTGAGCCAAACCGGTTTTGGCTCTGCTCCATGTTTTTAAAGGGGGAATTCTTAAAGGAATAAAAAGTTGAATAGCATGCATATCAGGCATTTGAAAACATAGGGAATGTGTTCGAACTGATTGCCAGTTTTCAACCTCTGAAGAAAATGTGTGGAAATAGGACCACATGGTTGAAAGAGGCAACTTCTGCTGAGAATCCGTTTGTATCAGTGAATCTGATTAAGGCTGTTTTACCCAGCTAGCCAAGTTTTTCCTCTACCCCTTCCTTTTTACAACCACCTGATAAAGTGCCTATTGTCACTGTGTCTATTGTGCCAACAAAAAAGTTGTGTTCCCATGGTTAACAGGGAAGAGGTACCAGAGCCAGGGGGGCAGTGCAGTCTCTTGGGTACCAGAGGAAATTCAAAGTTCTAGTTCTCAAAGTGGGCTCCCCATCAATATCATCTGGGAGCTAGTTAGAAGTATATAGCTGCTGACTCAGAAAAAGAGAGTGGGCCCAGCACTCCAGGGTTTAAGAGGCCTCTGTGTTATTTCGAGGCCTGGGCAAGGTTGAGAGCTCTGCTGTAAGGAAAGGCCTAGGCTGGGGTTTGTAGCTGCCAGCCTTGTAACTGATGTGTAGAGTAGGAACCAAACTTGGATAATAGGGAAGGCAAATGCCCAGATAGATATGAGAGAACTGGAAAAGATTGAAGTTCACAAGGGATGAAGAATGCCAGCTAAATCCCAGTGAAGGAACAAATGCCCGTAGGAGCTCTGAGACAAAGGCTTCTGAACTACAGCCACCAGGGCATCTACTTCAAGCAATATTTGGTACAGCAAATTCCAGAATAGAAAAATGGTTTGGGCTGTTCTTTGGATTTGATTAATCCATATAAGGAAAAGGGAGAAATTAGAATAGAACGCAATTTCCCCACAAGGTTGATTTTGAGCATTAGGTGACGGATATGAAGTCCTGTGACTATCTTAGGTAAGGAGCAGAATTTTTTTTTTTTAACTTAAGAAACAAACATGAAGTAATTCCCAACATCGAAATTGCAGTTATCTCTTGAAAATTAGCAAAAGACAATGTGAACTTAAACTTTAGTTATTCCTGGCATTTGAAGAGGGGTCTGTGTATGCACGTGCCTTTTAGAGTTGGGCTGAGAAGGGATTTCTGATGGGTTTGGGATTCTTGGATAGATTGATGTTTGTTCCTTCTTAATCCACTCATCTTTACAATCCATACTACCCAGTTAAAAAAAGCTTTTTATTTTGGAGAATTTAAATCATATACAAAAGTAGTCATAGTAGCATAGTGCAGGACTTCTCATTCTTTTTGGTCTTGGATTCCTGAATAATCTTAAAAATTATTGAGGGCCTTAAGGAAATTTCTTTAAAATGTGGATTATATTTGTCAATATTTGCCACACTGAATACTAAAAACAGACTTTTAAAACACAAGTATATATTGCATTAGCCATCAAGCACGGTGACATCACATGTCACAGAACCTCTGGAAAACAACTCTGTTCTTATGAATGAAAGTGAAAAAAAAATGTCTTAGTGTTTCATGAAAACAGTTTTGGGCCTCTGACCATACTTAGCCATTGACAATATGTATTCCTAAAAGTTAGACTTGGCATACCCAAACATAAGTGCCAATCTCACTTGTAAATGCATGAATAGTTTCTTCAAGATGTCAAATATTCACTAAATATTCAAATTTCCAGTGGTCTCCTTTGTCATAATTTTTTTTCAGATTTTTTTTCAAAATTTGAATAACCCATATTTCAGTCAATTGATAGGACTACTAAGAATCTATTAATCTCTAAGAGTCTTACATTTTATTTGTTGAAGAATCTGGTGGTTTTGCTTGTTCTGGGGAGTTTCCTGCAATCTGGGCTTTGTGATTTCATTTTTGCCACTTAATGTCTCTGTTTACCCAGGTTTTTCATTCTGTTTTGGGATTCTTTGTACAGAGTGACCTTTCTTTCAAACAATACTTTGTAAGTGTTCACTATGTGGAAAGTAAATTACATTAGTGTTGTGAGGGTAGTCTTCTCTATTGCCTGTAGGTATCCCAAAGAGGCCTATGGTGAAGAAAGGGCAGGGACTGTCATTTTTGAAAGATTGTCATGGCCTTTGGATGGGACAAAAGAATTAATAGTGGTGGGCAAATAGTAAGAACAAGAGACAAGTTCATTTTAAACTATTCTCTATAACAGCAGTTTTCAACCTGTGGGTCGCTACCCCTTTGGGGGTTGAATGACCCTTTCACAGGGGTTGCCTAAGACCATTAGAAAACACATATATAACTACATATTGTTTTTGTGATTAATCACTATGCTTTAATTATGTTCAATTTGTAACAATGAAATTGGGGTCACCACAACATGAGGAACTGTATTAAAGGGTCACGACATTAGGAAGGTTGAGAACCACTGCTCTATAATAAAATAATAGTAGAGCCAACTAAGATTTTAAAATGCATACGGGGAAAAGAAACTTTTTTCAAAGATAATTTTGTTTTAAAATTATTACACAGGAAATGCATGTTTTCTATCTATACTAATAAAAGGGTAATATGCTAATTAGACTGGATAGACCGGATGTCTTTCAGATGTCCTTCCGGACAAAGCTGTAGCTGCTGCGAGGGCTGAGGAGGGCTGCATGAGGAGGGCTGGCAGCCGCAGTGGCTGGCAGTGGCAGCAGCAGTGGGATGATGGGGGCGGCGCCTTCCCCTGATGGGCCCAGCCACCTCCCACAGAGGGAGGCCAGATGGGGAGCGGGCCTAAGCTGTCAGTAGGACATCCCTGAGGGCTCCCGGACTGTGAGGGGGCAGGCCAGGCTGAGGGACCCCGTGCCCCTTCAGCCCGGTGCACAAATTTTTGTGCACTGGGCCTCTAGTAAATTAATAACTACATCTATGTATATTTATTAACACACATCTTTTAAAATACCAAATGGAACCAAACTATATAAGCACCTTGCCATTTTACCTAACAGCATACATATAACATATATTCATATATCCATATGTCAGTGCACACAAAATTTTTCTCCTACTGATAGAAAAGTATCCTATATAATAAAAGTGTAATATGCTAGGTGTCCGACTGATCAGTTGACTGTTTGACCGCTTGACCAATCACTGTGATGCTCACTGACCACCAGGGGCAGACGCTCCGACTGGTAGGTTAGCTTGCTGCTGGGGTCCGGCCAATCAGGACTGAGCGAGAGGACTAGACGTGCCCTGGAGCCCTCCCATGGCTCCTCCCCGGCCCCGATCGGCCCCAATCAGCCCCAATTCCCAGCCAGGCCAAGAGACCCCACCCGTGCACGAATTTGTGCACCGGGCCTCTGGTTTCAGGTTTCATTATATGATGCAACATAATTTGTTTATCTACTCCTCTATGGTGAACATTTGTACTGTTTTTTACTTAATTCATTCAGAAAATGTTGCAAGGAATATATGCTTGTTTAGGAATATCCACATACACTATGGGGTAGATTCTGAAAAGTGCGGTTAACAAAGACTGTTAAAAGTTTTGTTTTTAGAAAGTAATCATACACATGGTTTAATAACAAACACTCCCCTCTCCCCCCAATAGCATTAAGACTAGGAACTGATACGTTAATCTCTCTTATTGAGGATCGAGTCTTCAACCCAGGCATGTGTCCTGACTGGGAATTGAACCCATGACCTCCTGATTCATAGGTTGATGCTCAACCACTGAGCCATGCTGGCCGGGTGAAAAGTTAATCTCTCTTAATTCTTGATTTTTGGTTCTCTCAAATTCTTTCACCAAACACAACTGCTATTTCTTATCTATCCTTCAAGAAGTGGTCTGTACATAGAGGTATAGTGAGGTGAGTGTGTAGATATTGCTCTTAAACGTAAAGAGTAGTGTATAATAACCTATCTCTACCTCCTTCCCTCCTATCTCTGTGTATGTGTATTGTGTGTGTGTGTGTGTGTGTGTGTGTGTGTGTGTATGTATGCATGCACCTCCTTCCTACCATTTAACAATGTAAAATGGAAGTTATTCCACATTAGATAGACCTCTCAGTCCTTTTTAGTAGATAAGATGCAGTAGTAGTTTCTGATTTGGGTATATCATCATTTGTAGGACTAGTGTCCCATTGGCTGGACACTTGTTTCTTTCCAGTGTTTCTCTGTTTTGACAGTTTTGATTTGTATTTACATCTTTGTACATCTGAGTTACTATTTCTGCTGGATAAGTTCTTGGGAATAAAATTTCTGGATTGAAGGATATTGACATTTAAAATAATCATAGGTATTGCCAAACACTCTCCAAAAACATTGTGCATGTTACACTTTCACCAGCAGCAAATTTGTCCCTGTCCCCCCAATTCTCACCAACAGTGATGTCATTCTTTACTGATTTGCCATTCTCCTAGGCAAATTGTCTCTTAAATAAAATGTCTCTTCATAAGTTCATGGGCATTTGTATTTTGCTATTGATCACATTCTTTGTTTTTCTGATACGTTATTTCCCATTTTTTGTTGTTGGTTTAGACTGCAGTGATGGCGAACCTATGACATGCGTGTCAGAGGTGACATGCGAACTCATTTTTTTGGTTGATTTTTCTTTGTTAAGTGACATTTGAATATATAAAATAAATATCAAAAATATAAAT